GGTGGAGGGCATCTGGACCTGCAGATTTAAAAATGTCCAGCCATTCCAGAAGACCCCTAACTACATCTGTGCTGACCAAAGGCCTGACAGAACCATGCCTGAGATTGTCCCTACCTCTGGTAGGAGGGTTGTCCTGGTCCCTGTTCAAGAAAACAGATGCAAAGAAACTCTTAAAAATATCAGCTTTCTCATCTGGTGTAGCCACAAGATTACCATCTGAGTCTTGCAGGGGCCCTACATTGCATGGTGCCCTCTTCTTGCTCCCAACGTACTTGAAAAAGGACTTTTTATTGTCCTTAATCCTGGACACTAGCCTGAGTTCCATCTCTGCCTTGACCTTCCTAATAGCCCTCCTACACTCCCGGGCAGAGGAGGAGTACTCCTCCTTGGTGATAGCTTCTCCCTTCCACTGGTTGTATGCCACCCATTTTAGTCCTCAGGCATTCCTGAATGCCCTTGCTGAGCCAAGGGGGTTTCTGAGCACTTTTACCCCCCTTGCTTCTCTCAGAGACTGTTACCCTTTGGGCCTGGAGGATTGTCCCCTTAAGGTATGACCATCCCTCATGGACTCCCATCTCCTCTACCTTCTGGGCCCTCAGTGCCTCCCCCACTAATCTCCAAAGCTCATTGAAGTTGGCCCTTCTGAAGTCAAGGGCTTCAGTCTTGCTGTAAGCCCTTGACAACCTGCGCTGGATAGTGAATTCCAGTAGGTGATGATCTCTATTGCCCAGGTGGTCAAGGACCTGCAGTCCCCTCACCATGTCATCCCCCGTGGCCAGAACCAGGTCCAGCAAGGTGTTACCCCTAGTGGGACTGTGCACCTCCTGGATAAAGTGAAGGTCCTGTAATACAGCCAGGAACCAGGCTGTCTGCTCCTCCAAGCATATGTCTGGATAGTTTCAGTCACCCATGGCAATGACATCCCTTGACCTAACTGCCTCCATAAGCTGACTAGAGAAGTCCTGGTCCAGCTCTTTACCCTGGTTGGGTGGTCTGTAGTAGTCACCCACCGTAAGGTCCCTTTCACCATGCCCCCCTTGTAGTTTGACCCACAGCGTCTCCGCCTGACCCTCGTCTAACCCGAAGCCAATCCTTGATGTTGTGAGGTGCTCTTTGACATAGAGCGTGACCCCCCCTACCTTTCCTCTCTGTCCTGTCACTTCTATATAGGGTATCCCTGAATCCCCACTGCCCAGTCGTGGGTGGGGTCCCACCAGGTTTCTGTGAGCCCAACTAAGTCTGGATTCTTACTCATAATCAGGAGGCATAGTTCCTCCTGCTTGTTCCGAATACTACAAGCATTAGTGTAGAGGTGCTTGAGGCCTCCTGAGAGTGCACATGCCTCCCCCCACTTACAGGACATTTGAGGCCCCTTACTCTCAGGATATTGTTGCTTACCTGGGCATCCCTTTCTCTTGTCACCCTGCATGCTGGTGAATCATCGTCTCCACTCAAAGCGGCCCCTTCCCCTGGCAAAGCTAGCTTAAAGCCCGCTGTTATCTCCTTTGTGCCCTAGGCCTCAAAGGGATTCTTTAGCCACCCATTTATTATTTTACTGACTGGTAACTTACATTTGGCAACTTGTTGCTTACATAAATAGTTAAATCTTCTTCTCCCATCTCTCTGCCATTCTCTCACCATTCACACTTTCACATACACCCATTCAAAAAGGGCATACAGAGTTCATTCACTTATGTCAAGCAAAAGAATACAAAATGGAGTGTTCAAGCTACTTACAGGACAAGACTAACATGGTTACATTTCACTGCTATTACACTCTATGTTAACATCAGCTACATCAGTTCAGTTCTTGCTACACATGACTTCTATCAGTGGGGACCAACATGCTTTCCACTCCTGCCCTGTCTATCACTGTCCTGCCTGTCCTCTCTCCAGTCTGACACATGCCCCACACAGAGCCCATGCCACAAGTTGACCACCTGTCACCTACATGTTGAGTGGCATGTGAAAAAATGTCGAAGAACCACACAAGGGATTTCCCTTAAACCTACAAATTTTCCTAATAGCATAACACTTATAATCCATTCATTTCCCTCATTTTATTTGTCCCACCGACACCAAGCCTACAGAAGGTTTGACTCAGGAAGGACATGTGCATAGAATTTGGCAGCTGGAAAGAGTGAATGTGTAGATGTAGTGTGCAGAGATATATGGAAAAATTCTTTCTTTGATACACATGTACACAGCACAAAATAAAATGTGCTAAGGCTAAATATTTACCTTTTTGACACTTGATACTCCTGGCTACCTTTTTAAGCATTTTCCCACTTCAGTCCATAATAATTGATTTTTGGTGCATAAGATGATACCTCGTTAAATATTAGTCACCTCTAAATAATGTCAGCTTCATGTCCAAGTTACAAAATTGCCCCAGAATTTCATTATGCAAGTATATGCTAATTTATGCCTATGTCGATCTTAATTGCACTTGTCAAAAAAGAATATTCAATCCACAAACTGCAATTTAAAGTATCCTTAAACATGGTGGAGAACTGAGATAAATAAAATGTTTTTGACATTTGTGCTTATAGTCAGTGCTAAAGCTATTTTTGGAATTTTGTATCAGTTCTAGTCAGGGTTCAGTTTAAGATTTTTTTTTAATTCCTACATAAAATTAAACAGGGGAAAAGACTACTTTTAATGAATAATAACTTCATTTCAGAACAGTTGTACAAAAGCAATATTTTGAACAGATTGAGGGGTTTTAAGCAACATAATCTGAAAGACATCAGGAATAAGTTATTTCTTAAGAATAAATCCTCTTATCACTGAGATGCAACCAACCAAGGAAAATTGTTCTCTTGAAGACCTAGATTAATTTGTCCTGCAGAGCTACTAAAATGTTGGAGCATTTTGCTATAAGTATTTAAGCAATAAATATATTCCTCCTTTTAATTTGTCATTTATTTTCTTTTCAGCTCCTTGTGGCTATAATGTAACCTCTCAGAATGGTACAGTTTATTCCCCAGGATTTCCAGATGAATATCCAAATTCAAAGGACTGTACATGGCTTATTTCTGTGCCTCAGGGTCATGGAATTTATATCAACTTCACCTTACTCCAAACTGAACCAGTGAATGACTATATAGCAGTTTGGTATGTGACCTTTTAACACAAATGATTGGTTTCTGGTTGATTTATCTTTGACTCTATGTCTATTCCTATAACTTGGAATTGTTATATACAGAGCAATATCAGTTTCAGAGTAATAGCATGATTAAGAGTAAGGTTAACAAGAGATAGACTATAGATCAACTGTGTAAATGTATAGAACAAGTTCAACATAACTAATTTTATTGGCACAATGTTATCCATAAGACTTGTTTTTTAAAAATTACCTATATACTTAAACCCAGATAGCAAAAGCTTGTATATGAACTCCAATTTGAATTGTAGACAGTTAGAAAAAACTAAGGTTCTATTAAGCAGCACTGTTTTGCTTAGAATAGGTTGAGAAATGCCACCCAGCTTACTGTATCTTTTAATGGTGGTATTTTCTATGGGAGGCAGTGCTGGTAAAACAGATGAGATAGTCTGTGTATGTTTAATTGAGTTACCTATATGTACACTATTATATACAATGCTAAACCTGTTGCTATAATGATCAGTGCAATTCTAAAATATATCACATTATATCCTCTTTGAAAATTTAAATTTAAATTAAAAGTGCAAGACAGTGCTTAGGCAAATGATCTTCTCCCATAGAAAATGATTTATCAACCCAAATGCAAAATCCTAGAAATCCCAGACATTTTTAAACCTGTCTGTCTGGAGATATATATTGACATTTAAATGTAAATGTTTTTGAAGAGAAGGCTTTTAGAGAATCAAAATACACAGTGTACCTACCAAGTGTGATTGCCTGTGCCCAAAGAGTGAATTCCTCTTCACAGATAGTACATAAACAATTAAAAGTATTAGAAAGGTCTAAACAAATTGTATGACTTATGAAGGAAAACCTTTATATTTCCATCCTTATAGAACAGGTCCTTTTCCCCTTTGCTCCATAGAGACCTGTTTCTACAGAGACACATCACCCTATGTTATATCATTGAAAACACTGAAGACACTGTTGTCTTCAGCTGGGGTAGACTGTTAGTGGAACTGTGATAATGTGATTAAAATATACTATATTTGAAAGCATATATTGAAATACAAAATTAATATTTTATGTTATATTACATTATACATGTGAAAACATTATATGAATACATATGATCAAATTTAAAACAGCCTGGTTAGTGTAGTGATCACTGGGTTCAATGAACAGAGGCATATGTAAATTAGAAAAGTAACATGTTTTAATTTGTGGAGCATTATGCAATATCTGCAGACTCTTTGTCTTTCTTGCTAAGTGAGTAATGAGGTAGCTAGTTCTTAAGTAAGGAACCACCTTTTGTTTACCAGCTCTTCTAAAGTAGGGAGCATCACTACAGTCACACAAAGACCATGTGCAGGACAATAACTGACAGGTAAGTCCAACTGCTTAAGAATAGTAGTTCCCCATATGCATTATCTAAATATTATAAAGTAAAACAATAATATATGCTATACACATACACACACATCCATATGTATGTATGTATACATGCAGACATACATATATATATATATATATATACATGCACACACACACACACATATATATATATATATATATATAAATAGTCCCATAACTTGCAGACCTGTAATAACATTGTTTTTACCTTTTAAGATAAAACCATTAATTAAAATGCAGAGGTCACATTGAATATTCATTACTTTGAAAATGATACTGTAATTCACTGGTAAGAGAAATAGAAGGGAAAATCTCAGCACCCTTTTAATGTTAATTATCAGTTTATTTTTGTCACTCTTTGCCAGAGAGGAAATACATGTTCCCTTTAGAGGATAAAATAAGTATTTCAGTGGTATAGTGGTAAGTGCAGGAAACTCACTTTGCAAATGACAGTTTTATTCATAACATCTTTTGCATACTTTTATATCTTTAAATAGTTTGTGGCTATTCTGGAATGACCTGTCTGTGGTCAGAAAGCTTACTTCATAAGTTTGAAATAGAAAAGAAATAAATTCATTTATTGGCTTTTCATGTGTGAGAAGTAGGACTGAACTCATCACAGACTGAAGTGAGGAAATATCCTTTTGATCTAAAGGTAGCAAAAGGTCAGAAGCTAAGTGATTGCTGGGAGTCTTTGGTTAATCTCTAGTGTACTAAAGTACATATCACAAAAGCTTGATTCATCATAGATTCAGTAGTTATAGCATACAACAGGTTCACAAAAATAGGCTTACACAGCTTTGAAATTCTTCAGTGACAGCAATTATTAGCTGCTTTTATTTTGGAATAATGTTTTAGCTGAAATGTGTTTATATAACGACATTCAAAGTGAAATTAGCTGCATATGAATATGTCTCTATGAGCACCTCTTTTGCTGTTGTGAAGTACAGACCTCTTGTTCTTCTTTCTTAACACAAAACCACAGTGAATAGAATGAATTAAAATTATAATATGTCATCCTACAAATGCTTACTCCTTTGACTTCAGTAGAACTATTTACACGGGTAAATAGTTTGGCTCAAAAACATTTTTAAAAAATTGTAAAAATGCCTTTAATAATAAAAGTTACAGGGAATAAAGGAGGCTGAAATAATTTTCCTGATTTGCTTAAAGGTTCATATTTTACTGAAACACAAAAGATTTATATAAAAGACATTCAGAAACAGGATGGGTGTAGAAAGGCCCAGCTGTTCTAAAAGAAGCCAGCAAATAACCTGCCTGAACAAATATAAAATCTGCTATACAATTTTCCCAAACTTCTCTACAAAGATCAGGTTTTGAAGTTCCAAAGAATGTTCAACTTTGCCTTCATAGTCTTGAATACAAATGAAGTAACCTCAAGTACAATAGTTAGAATTAACCTGCTTTCCCAAAGATTTAGCCTGCTGTCAGGAGAAAATAGATTGCTAATTTAAACCTTAATTGTAGGTTTTCACTGACTGATTTCTTTACTTTGGTCCCTAGGGATGGTCCTGACCAGAATTCACCTCAGCTGGGAGTTTTCAGTGGCAATACAGCTCTTGAAACAGCTTACAGTTCAACCAACCAGGCCCTTCTCAAATTTCATAGTGACTTTTCAACAGGAGGATTCTTTGTCCTCAATTTTCATGGTCAGTTTGCTCAATATTCTATAGTTTACTTTTCTTCTGGGAATCAATGTGTATGTATGTTATTTCATTCTTTCTTTGTTACTTTCTATTTCAGTTATTCCTTAACTACCTGTGCCCTTACTGATCTTAAGATAAATTTATTAGATTTTATGGTCTGCTATTTTAATTGAACATTACAGTTTTTCATGATCATTTTGTCAAATCTGTAGTGAATTGGTCTTGTATTTTCAGGGGAAAAAAATCTCAATAATTATTTTTATTGTTATTATTTTAAGGTCAATTTTGACCTCACTCTTATGAAAGACTTGTCTTATTTATGTGAAACCAGGGCCTCATACAGATATTTAGTTTCTCCTGGAAGAGTTCTCTCAGGAGTGTACATATGTTCAGGCTTTTTGTCCCAGAATAAAAGTGGCTGCTCCAGAAAAAAAATCACCTGGGAGCAACCATCGTTAAATCAATCCCAGGAGAGTTTCTTCTGAGAGAGTGAATGTCTGTTCATGCTGTGGGTCTCTCAGAAGAGAAAATAGTCATCCAGCATCCCCTCCTCTCCCTCTCCAGAAGACAGTGTGTCAGTTGCTGGATTATGATGCTCCAGCAGAAGCACAATACATCAGGGATGCCCTATGCACTTCTGCTAGATGTGTCTAGACAGACTTAAGGGAGCTTTCAGAGCATGCTGAGATGTGTGTAAAAGAGCCCCCTCTGTCTGCACAGTATCAGCAATGCAGGCTCTCCATACTTCAGGGCCTCAGCATTCAAATGTCTATATATGCCACACTTGGTAAGTTTTTCCACCAGGAGCACAAACATAGTCAGAAATGGGATTTCTTTATGCACAGGCTTTCCCCTTCTTTAGCAGTTCTTTGTTGTAGGTTATAGCCCATCTTTTTCCCTGTTCAGTGCCTGCAAAAGTACAGTTACAGGCAGTAACTCACATCTGCAATAGAGAGCTGGAGATGAGAACTAATGAACAATACATTTTGTCTGCTTGTTCTTAACTTCTGTAACTTGGCATGTGGGGATGGGATTTGGAAGATGCAGGAAGCATCTATGTTCTTAACCAAGCCTGATTTCTGTGGAAGAAGAGACATTTATACAATATGTGCTCTCCTGTCCCTTACTGACATCACATCTTCATTTTGGAGCTAACAGGTCTTTGGTTATGAGGGACAATCAGGTAGTAAATGGTTAGTAGAAATAAAAACAAACTATGTGTCCAGACTTGCAAAAATGCTAATAATTGTATTAGTATTAACTTTTCCAATAGAACTGTACAACAAAAAACACTGGTCAGCAGACATATGTCTAGGATTTAACCTAGAATTAACCTAAAATATAAGAGATTATACAAACCTCAACAAATCTGAAGATCTGGAGAGGAAGCCATGACAAACAACCAAGCATATAAATAAACAAACAAATTCTGTACTTATTTGACTTTGTTTTCTGTTAGAGTTAAATAGCTATTAAGTCAGATTCATTCTTAGGTTATGTCTACCCTTCCTTTGTGATTACCTCAGAAAAACCACTGAAATCCACATACTAGGCTGCGTGGCCATATTGTTGTCGCTTTGAATGCATGCCAAGAAACCTATCTGAGATAAGGCTTGCACATGTGTTCATGGCTATGTTAAACCATCTCACATTTCTTTATTTCCAGCCTTTGGTGTGCACTGAACAAAACTGAATCAGTAGGGGAGTGTATAAACTTCCTCTTAGGTACTCAAGGTTCATTTAAACTAGAGATGGATTTGATTATTTAATTTGTATCGTATGTATATGTTTATATCCATAACAAGTATTTTAAACATTGCTTCATAAATGCCAATAATGCTTCAGTTACCATGTTAAATTTTGAAAATTAGATCCCAAATCCACAATTGGCTGTCTCAAAGTCAGTGTACCACTATATGGCCTCAGGCACACATTAATTTAATGATGCCTTGGGATATGATCCCTGATCCGAGCATTTGCACTTTGTGCCATGCCACATATGCATAATTTTTTTGGATTCAAATGATACCCTTTCTACTCACCAGCAAATTGAAGCCCAGGTTCAGGATCCTAGGTTCCACCTGCACAGGTAAGTTCAAAGCTGAGCAGTGGAAGCCCTGCTGGCAGCTGTAAGTAAGTGCCACAGGGAGGGGAGACAGTTGGCTCTTCCCACATGGCAACTGCAGAACTGTGGTCCAAAGCATCACATGTAGGACTGAAAGTGAGCAGTTTTGAACTTTCATTGAGGGGGGAGGCTGATTTGGCACATTGACTGCCTTTCTCCACAGCTTCTATCAGAGCAATGCAGGAGAGGCTCCTGTGTGTGTGTGTGTG